TTCAAAGCTGAAGATATTGGAGGTACTATGACCCCCCAAAACCCCAAAACCCCAAGAGGTGTATTTGCATGCTAATTTTGTTTCTATTAAAAATTAAGAATAAAATGGAAAAGCAAAACAAAGAAAGTAAACTTGAGACAATCTCCTCTAATGAATAGTAAGAGCATGAAAGAACTTCATTAATCTCAAATTCAGATATTGGAGAAAATTACAGAGCGATTACAGAAACATCTTATTTCTCTACTCGCCATTTAACTAATGAGGATAAGCTTTTGCGAACTTCTACTCACTACTATTCTCTATTGAACATTTTCAAAGGATATATAGGTATCTCATTCTTAGCCATACCTCAAGGCTTTGCTTAGGTAGGATTATACGGAGCCACAATCGAACTTATCTTAATCATGATACTTAATCTTTATTCTGTTTATCTGCTTGTTAAAGCAAGGAACAAGTATAAGAGACAACCAATAAGAAATATTTGCGATCTCTGTGAATAAATTTTTGGGCCAAGGGCAAAAAATGCAGCAAACATACTTCTAATAATAACAGAGATTTAATTCTGTGTAAGTTATACAATCTATTTTGGAGAGTAACTTGATTAATTGTTTTGCTAAATTCTGCCTATAACTTCTTGCGGTAAAAAGTACTTGTACCGTCTATTATTTTCAATCGCTATATTACCCCTAATGTATATGAAATAGCTCAGGAAGATAGCAGTATTTTCATTTTTTTCAAATGTAGCAACTATTGTGGCAATTATTTTGATTATTTTAGTAGAAATAAACATTATTTAAAACTAGCCACCTTAAACTGTTTAATACGAGAACTTAAAGATTATCGATATTTGGCAAATGCCTATTTATTTTGGTGTAGCAATGTGTCTCTATGAAGGAAATGGACTAATTTTAAATCTTTACTCTGAAGTAGACAAGCCCCATAAATTTATGAATCAAATTAGCTTGGTTCTGTCTTTGCTTACAGGCCTAGGAATTATAGTAGGCGCTTTATCATATATGGCTTTTGGAGGTAAAATTGAATCAATTATTCTTCAAAACTTGCCAAATAATGCTATTGGAATATCGATAAAGCTGATGTATATGATAACAATTACTGGTATCTATGTATTAGTTATTTACCCAGTCTTCTAAATAATGGAAGATGATCATAAGTATAAAAACATTGCACGAATTGGAGAAAATACCAAATTCTTTTTGTTTAGAACCTTGATTATTGCCCTTATTCTTGGCTTCAGTATGCTTATTCCTAATATCACTGTTATGTTGTCTATTGTTGGAAGTATAAGTGGCACTCTTATTTCAGTAATTGTGCCAGCAGTGATGTATAATACAGCCTATAAAGATTCAGAGAAGAAGTCATTCAGAAGAAAGATGAATGTTATATTCATGATAATCGGATCAGTATTTGGGACTATAGGTTTTTACGAAAGTATTAGAGCTATTATATTTCCAAAAGATGAATGAATAATATAATTATTATTCAAAATAAATTAAACTTATAATAATCTAATTTCCAGAGTTAATAGTCCATTTGGGGTTTTGGGGTTTTGGGGTTTTGGGG